GTGGACCCATATAGACACTTTAATAGTGTTGAAATCAAATCTGACAGTGTTAATTTGGACATGCCAGAAACAAACTTAACACTACAGTTGCAACTATCTTACTTAGGTTTTAATGTTGATTAATATCTAAGCATTGACTTTTTGAAAACCCAACCTTAAATATGTTGGCAATACATCGCTAAGTAGCTTATTATTTTAATGTATCTGACTGATTTCACTGGGTGACATTAATTCACGGGGCACATTCCTCATAAAGCAGATAAGACAGTTACAGACAGTTCCATCACACTGGAAAAAAGTCTTAAGCGAATGTGAGTCCAAATGGTGTGTGTCTCTATGTTAGCAGGATGTACCCTGCCACTCGCCATGTGGCAGAGCAATAGTTCTCAAGGCCTTCTGAAGGCCAAAGTTTTTCTTTGGTTACTTTTTCACTCATTTTTTATTCCAGTCCATGATGATTTTCAGAGGGATGGGTTTCTTGTTTGTTAAACCACTTAAAACCGACACATGATTCCCTTAAAGGCAAAAACACCTAACTCAAGAGATGAATGAATTATGGGTCTATGCATAATACAGAACCTAGCAAAGAACCAATTTTAAAATATAATATAAAAAGCTAATAACTAATAACTAGTTATTGGCTAATAGCTATTAGCCAATAACTTGCATATCTTGCCTGGTATGCATTACATTAGAAAAAGTCTTTTTGAGGAAACTGGACAAGTGGAGGACAAAAGAAGTGGCAAGCCTAAAAATAAAAAAAATAAATCTACAACAGATGAACACTATGTTTTCCATTTTTCTCCTCAACACTAGGGCTGTTCGATATAACTATATATATCGGATGATGATATAAAAACGTCTATCGTTTCATTTTACGCTATCGTTTGTTTCGTGGTGTCGCAAAATAAACTGTTTACGGCAATATTTTCTCATTGTTTTGGTGATCACTGTGGTGGCTACATTAATTTCTTAAAGTTCTCTCTTTCTTTATATTTAATATAACCACACTACGACGGACAAGCGCCTGTTTTTATGCGTTGTCGTTAGCAACAACGACGGTAACACCATCGCGTGTCCGCTTGTTTATGTTCCACATAAACCTTTCACAATAAAGCTCAAGATCCTGTTGAGACTTTTCAAAATAAACTGAATCACGTGAAAGAGCAGATTATTTTACGGATGAGAAGTAAAAAAGAGCCGCCAGGTGCTAAAAAATAAACCTTAGACTCAAACGTTAGAACAGGCTTTTCCCCGCAGCACACCGTGTAATAAATACTCACAAAGAAAACGGCGGCCGTTACAACTTATGTCTAAAAATGTATTGTTTCATGCATCTGTTAAAACACTCGACTCCAGCTACATGACAGGCAGCTGGAAACACTTTACGCAAGACGAGATTCACAGAATTTACAGAAAATGTTACATTTTTGTGATTTATATCGTTATCGGGACAATAGATGTCTTATATCGGGATATGAGATTTTGGTCATATCGCATAGCCCTACTCAACACCATACCTAACCAACACCTCATCGTCTCCTCTGTTCACTTAACCTACATGTCCCTGAGGACACTCACTCTCTGCCACTTCATCTAACAACTTCTGCATCCAGTAATGCCATTTCTACATGCATGTACATTTCCAGAATTCCATATTCTTTTATATCCGACATCCAACCTGTGGGTCAAATGCACTAACAATATTCACACCTTCATTTTCCAGCTTCAAATTCATGATGCTGTCTGACACTATTCTTTCAAGATTACGGTACCCCTACTCCTTTCCACTTGCTCTCTACAGCAAAGTAGAACAGTCCAAATCCAGTGCTACTGACCTTGCTACCCTTCCACCTGGCCTCATGCACACACAATAACTCACTCTTCCTTCTCTCCATGTCAGTGAGCTCTCTCTCTTTACCAGTCATAGACCCTCCTTTTAAAGTCCCAACTCTCCCCTCCATAATCACATACCTTACCCCTTTCCTTTCCCTAATCTCTAATAATCTATATAAAAACATAGGGATTACCATGGTAAACACAGATCTAGAACCCTGCAAGTGGGCTTTATATTTCTACTTAAATGACACATCAATACAGCATGTGTTTTGAAATGCCAGCACAACTTGACTTATTCATGTCTTATGTGGGCAGCACGGAGGTCAGCAAGAAGGTCCTGAGTTCAATTACACCATCAGACCGGGGTCGTTCTGTGTGGAGTTTGCATGTTCTCCCCGTGTTTGCATGGGTTCCCTCCGGGTACTCCAGCTTCCTCCCACCGTCCAAGACATGCAGCTTGTGGGGATAGGTTAATTGATTAATCCAAATTGCCCATAGGTGTGAATGCGGGAGTGAATGTGAGCGCTGTCATGTGGCTGTCTGTCTCTGTGTGTTAGCCCTGCAACAGACTGGCGACCTGTCCAGGGTGTACCCCGCCTCTCGCCCTATGACAACTGGGATAGGCTCGAGCACCTATCCTGAAAAGGATAAGCGGAAGCGAATGGATGGATGGATGGATGGATGGATGGATGCCTTATGTGTTGCTGACTGAAGTAGAGGACAAGGCCCCTGAATAACAGACGGGGGTTGGAGTAATGTTGTAAGCAGGCCTTAGTGACAGACAAAAATTAAGAAACTCACGCTGGTCCTGAAGTGAGAAGTGTACAGTTCTGGATGGATCTCGTACTCAATGGGGTCATAGATGCCGTCACTCTTTCTTACAAGGTGGTGGTGTCGGCTAAGGACGGTGGCATACACTTTGGTCATATCTGGCAAGAAAACATACAGTTTGCTCTAGTTAAATTACATAATATAACTTAATGATAGTGATAAAAACGAACAAACACAATTGCATAATAAAAGGTTGTAGGAATACAGTTAGCTTTAGCCATAAATTAGTATATATCTAATCTTAATGTCACATTAATGATTCTAGTAATATTTTGACTTAATCTTTAATGATAATACAGTGAACTGACTTTGAATCCTAATAATTAGAGAGGTTTACTGTGGTGCAGGGCTCTAGACTAACTTTTTGCCATGGGCGTACGCCTAACTTTAAAAAGTTAGGCGTACCGGCACAAAAGTTAGGCGCACACAAATTTTATAATAATTTATATAATATAATGTGTTTTTCTGGATACACTGTGCTTTTTCAGCATTCAAAGATTGATGACACCGTGTCAGAGCACTGGCTATGAATTTCAGAAGGATCAGGCTAACTTAACAGAAAAGTTAGCAATAGTTCTTTTCCTATTACAGCTACATCCACTTCTGTCGTGCCTAGGCTGCTCACTAGGGCTGGGTATCATCACTGATTTCTATAATCCATTCGATTCCGGTTTTCAAAGTCCCGATTCGATTCAACTTAGCCTCAGACAGTCAGAAATATTATAACTCTGATCATTTATCAGTACTGACTTCATCAGAATTGTGAACATCACAGCAGATGCCTTTGTGTGAAAGTAACTGAGAATAAAACACAGAAAAACATGAAGGAGATTTTCCTGGTCTGGCTTTTTATAGCAGATAACCTTAAAAATATTCTACAATGTTCTGCATATAAAGTTTAAATTTCTTCAGTATTGAACAACAGAAAAAATCAGGCTTTCTTGTCCGAGGTCATTTAAGTGAAAAAAAGAAAAAGAAAAGAAAAAGACAGCAGCCACAGCGCTGTAAACAACGGTAGACTGGTGGGTAATAAGCGAATGAATAATACAGAAAACAGAGATTGGAGACGGGAAACTGTTCTTGAAGTACAGAGAGAGAAGAGAGAGTAGCTGTGCATGAAGTGTGATTTTAATAGTCGTGGAAGCAAAACAGCAAAATTCATGACGACATTGATCAAATGTGAAGCGCAGTTTGCTGCTTCTTTTGCTGCTGGCTCGGTGATTTTGGTTGGAGAGACAAAACCTGCAGCTCAGAATCAGCGCAAAAAGACGTAATCACAGCGCGGACCGGACGCATCAGATCGCTAAGCTCCGACAGCGTGTCCGTCTACGGGCCGTCGGGTGAGAAAGCCGAGAAAGACAAAGTTGATTCTGATGCGTCGGGTCGTTCTGTGTTTACGTCTTTGTGTGGAGTCCGTGTACCTGCTCTCATTCTGCTGTTTGGTTGTTGTTGAAATGGTTTTGTGAGCTTTAATCTGAGAATCTGGCGTTTCTGGCAAAACACAGTTATATTTAAAAGTCGATTCAGGATTTAATGAATTGATATCGCTTTATTCAAGCTACTCACCTCCCACTTCCACCTGCACTTTCAACTGGACCACGGCCAATCAGAGAGGTCCCGCCCCTTACTATCTCTGATTGGTTTAGTCCACGATAGGGGCATAATGTGTGTCTGTTGTTGACCACAGGGAAGGTTGCAGATTTTTTTTTTTTTTTTGCTACCCGAACAGTTGGTCGCACAGGTGCAACCAAATTTTTTTTTTTAGTCGCACCACTGAAAAATTTGGTCGCATTTGCGACCAAATTGGTCGCACTCTAGAGCCCTGTGGTGGGATGTGGAGTTGTGTGTGGTGTGGAACAACAAAGGTAGATGGAAAGCTGCTCTCATAAAAGCAAAGGAAAACACTGCAAATAAATATCACTTGACTTGCCAACTTGCAACTAACCAGGGAACATCATTCATGTCTCACAGACTACAAGGACTGTACGAATTACTGGCATTAAATGTGTTCAGACCAACTTCTCCCACCCTCAGACTGATGGGGTGGTGGAACGGCTGAATAAGACTTTAAGCTCCATGATTCGCAAGGTCATTTACGCAGATGAACACAATTAGGATTGCCAGTTAGACCCTCTTTCGTTTACAGTGAGGGAGGTGCCCCAGTTTCATGGGATTTTCTCCCTTTGAGTTACTGCTCAGCAGAACTACACTACTGCCCTTTGTGATGTGATAGCTCTGTTTGAAAAATCTTCACCGAGCATAACACCCCAATAGATCTCAGACCCAGCAACAACCTCAGACAACAAAATGGAAAAACAGTGGAAAAAAAGAAAAGAAAACAATGTTGTGTATGTTATATGATGAGCAGTTCTCAGACCAACACATAGGAGGGACGAAACAACCACTCCAAAGGTACGTAGCGCCACAAGAGAGATCCAGGTCTTTAGGACAAGATTCAGCTATAATTTCACTTCAATGAGGGGACACACTGTTTTCATGATGCTAATATTCACATTTTGGACAGAGAAGATGGATGGTTTCAGAGAAGAGTAAATGAGTAAATGGATATCCACTGAATAGAGGTAGTGACCTACAACACCAAACAGGTGCCACCTATAATACAGTCCTGAGATCATTTTCCAAGTGATTCACCTCCAATTCACACTTTGTCTCATGGGATCCTAATGACTCACATGATGGCAGAACGGGTCAGTGACTCTCAGTATCTCAAAGTTGACAACCCCACAAAAACAGGGATAGAGATGACAGACATTTTATTATCATCATCTGGTATATTTTGTCATATCCCACAGCCTTAAAATGAATTGACAGATATTTTGTTTTTTTAGGTTCATGACTTTCCAATTTATTCACAAAGGCAAAAATAAAGGAACATAGTAAAAGTTTGGTTAATAGTAAGAACTTTTTGATCAATCTAGAAATTTATAAATGTTCTTATTTTCTAAACACATTTCATTTGTAATATAATCTCTAAGCAATGTTTAATTTAAGTCCTTGTGCTTTTTGTGGTATCCATGTTTTTCCACATTCCAAATAACAAGATCAGACAGACCATTTCCCCAAAGAACTTGTGTGTTTAAAGTGATACAACCCACCACGGTCACTCCAACAGCTGAAAATTGCATGATGCTCAAAATATTTCATACCTCCTGTTTCAGAGACGTCCTTCAACTCGTGAGGTTCAACATATTCAACAGGAAGCTCGTTGATGATGTCTTGGGCTCCCTGCAAGAAAGAAAAAAGATGCATAAAATGAAACATTCATCACAAAATCCTCCTTAATGTATTTTTTCTGAGTGTTTGGTTGTGTCTAAGGTTTTGTACCTTGGAGACATTTCCTGTTCCAGTGAAGCAAAATGTGAGGGGTCCAATGGATTTGGGCATAAGCCCCATTGAAATTTCATACCCACAATCCCTGACTGCTTGGATGGCCTGGCTTACATTCCTATAGTTATGAGCCATACCAATGTGCTGGATATGAATCATGTGGAGAAAAGGACATCACATGTGAACTCTTTATAAGGACAAAGTTGTTTTTAACATTTTTTTGAAATGATAAAGAATGTCCACTCTTACCATAAACGGAGTGTGGTGGCCGAGAGCCAAGAAGCGCAGCCCCAATCCATGCAAAATGTTAATCATTCCTGAAGAAAAAGGAAAGAGAGATTCATTTACTTCAAAAAGAACAATTTACTAAATAATAACACACAAAATAGTAATTTATAATGTGGCATCATAAACGATTAAAATGACAGAAATATTTATAAGACAGAAAAAGCTGGTCATTAATTTAAGGTTAGAGGGTGATTTTTAGTATTCTGTGCCATTTAAGCTCCCATGACAGACTAACTATTGTATGTTGTATAAAAATACAGACCATTCAAAATGGCTCAGTAAGTATTTGTAAAAGCTTGCCTTACACCATCAAACTCTCATCTACCATAGAAAACCATCTTATGTATGCAAAATTATGTTCTTAATGGTCTTCTAGTTACATGACTTACAGCTAGTTGTATATAGTTTTGGAGGGAAATCATCTACAAGAACCAGAATAAACAGCTTTTTCTATTTGATTTCTCAGATCTTTGGTCCCGATTTAGGTTCAGATAACATAATTATAAAGTCCAGCAAGGGCCAGGACAGTCTCCTAAAGATGATTCAGCTGCAGGATTGGGGTGCCATCTGTGCAGATCTTGCTCAGGAATGGCAGCAAGCAGTTGTGAGTGCATCTGCACACTCAGTGAGCTGAAAACTCTTGGAGGATGGCCTGGTGTCAAGAAGGGCAGCAAATAAGCCACTTGTCCCCCCTAAAAATATCAGGGACAGGCCGATATTCTGCAAGAAGTACAGTGAGTGGACTGCTGAGGACTCAGGTAAAGTTATTTTCTCTGATGAAGCCCCTTTCTTATTGTTTGGGGCATCTGCAAACAGGATTGTCCAGATAAGAAAAGGCGAGCACTACCATCAGTCCTGCCTCAAGCCAACAGTAAAGCATCCTGATACCATTCGTGTGGGGTGCTGCTTTTCAACCAAGGAAGTGGGATCCCTCACAATTTTGCCAAAAAACACAGCCATGAATAAAGAATGGTACCAAAACATCCTCCGACAGCAACTTCTTCCAACCATCCAAGAACAGTTTTGTGATGAACAATGCCCTTTCCAGCCTGATGGAGCACCGAAGTGACTGAAGTGATAATAACTAAGGGGCTCGGGGAACAAAACATTGAAATTTTGCATCCATGGCCAGGAAACTCCCCAGACCTTAATCCAATTGAGAACTTGTGGTCAATCCTCAACAAGCAGGTTATGAAAGAATGGGTTGTGTGGGATTATAATATTATTTTATGCCATGTTAGACCCCTAATTAAAGATTGTGAATTATTATGTAGTTTTAGTTTGCATTATTCTCCTGAATTAGAAGAAGGTGATAACTATTGCATTTGTTAAACTGATTTGCATTACATTAGACTGCTGATTTATTGTGAATGAATGATATTGTTTTATGATGCATTATACTGCTGAGTTATAAGAAATACTGTTCGCAGAAAGTCATCGCCTTATTTGTCTGATTAGAAGAGAACAGAACATACTGGAGTTTTCTGCCCCATCTCAGCAGGAGCAGATAAACAGGGAGCCAAGGTCGTAGCTTAGGCGCTGTGTGAGAGAAAGAATGTGAATGTTTAGGCTTTTATGATTAGGTGGGGGCCACTAGAGGCTATAAGAGTTTGATCAATGCTCCACCATTTTGAGATCTGATGCTGTCTGCGTACAGTGTCCATCTCCCACGCGTGTGATCATTAAAATCATCGTTTGACTCAACCCGGCCGGACCAGTGTTGTTATTGTGGTTTTTCCTCTTGTATCCATCCCCAATATTTGAATCCGTAACAGTTTGGGGGCTCGTCCTGTGGTATTGGGGTGGAAGTTGGAGGTTTGGACGGTCCGAGGTTGTCGAACGGACAGGCACAAGCCAGTGGTCTGACGTGAGTGGGCATAAGCCGGCTTATACAAAGGTAAGGCACTACCTGTTGAATTATTTCCAAAGTGTGCCAAATTGGACATGATAAAATTAAAGTCTACTCACTGAAATTACTGGTAGATGTCTGTTTTGATTTTGATGAAAAAATCTCATGAGTTAATGCAGTTAGAGGCTGCTAAGAAATTGAGTTATCAAGTGTTTAATGCAGTTAGAGGCTGCTAAGAAATTAATGCAGTTAGAGGCTGCTAAGAAATTATGAGTTAGAGGCTCAAGATAGTTAGCTCAGTAGTTGGTAGGGAATTGGTCATTTTGTGAGTTAGAGGGTCCATTGGTTATATGGTGGTCCTGAGTTCGTCATGTTGTGAGTTAGAGGCTCCATTGATCACTAGGTTGCACCTGCCTCAGTCACACTCTTGTTTCGAGGAGTTGACTGCTGTTTCAAAGTGTTATAAATTATTATAGGACGGCAGTTAGAGGCTGCTAAGAAGCGCATAGCCCGGAGGTTACGCTCCCTCCTGGCCGTGGACGCGCGACCTTGACCTGTCGGCGAACAGGGTTAGTTCAGTTTGGCTTAACTGTGGGGTACAGGGCATCCTGGAATAAGCTAGGAGTTAGAGGTCTCCTTACCGTTGTTAAACGGTATCTGCGCTTTTTTGGACACTGTTAAATTGAGTTAGGGACTTTAGAGATGAGGCCAGATACAGTTAGAGGCTGATACTGGTTAATTGATCACAAAAAAGTTGGACTTTCTTCGGTTGGACCCGTTAACTTAAATTTGTCAAAATTGTGTAGGCGCTAAAGCTGTCAGGCCTGACAGTGATTGTAAATATAAGACGTCTTTGTAATATAAAATAGAGTTGTGTGTGAGACGAGACTGTGTGTGACGACAGCGCACTGCAGCGCTGCGAGCTATTTTTAGACTGTGTGTGAACATGCAAATGAGGTGGCTGCTGTGAAGCGCACAGAGGACTTTTGCTTGCTGTTTAGCGTGTTTTTGAGTTTTATAATTATGATTTGCAAATACTGTTAAAGACCTGTAAATAAGACGCTGATTTTGCTGATTATAATATTACAAATAAGGTTTTGAATGACTAGGGTGAATGTTTGATGTTTGGCTGGGTTTGATATAGAAAAGACAAATCGTGCATGATTTAGACCGGCACTTCAGTCGGCAGGGTAAGAATGAGTGATAAATACAGCTGTGATTTGTTTCAGTTTTGTGGTGTGAAGCAGGATTTATAAGATTTTTAAGTGACTCTTGGTTCAGTTCAATAATATAGGCAGTTACATTTGATTTACGGTTACGATTATTATTGGTTTTATACATTCATATTAATGGAGGATTGTGACTGAGAGTGTGGAGAGAGGACGTGAAGACGGCTTTGCAGCTGCTGGAGTGAGTAGCTGTGTGTGTGACAGGAACTCTGCATGCCCATAGAAGGCAACTGCCTGACTGTGTGAAGTATGCACCCAGAGAGAGAGCGAGAGTAAAATCTAGGCAGATGAAGCGAATGGATGTTTTCAGAAAAGAAATACTAAGTGAATGTTTTAGTGTGTTAATACAGGTGGATTTCTCTCAACCTGGAAAGCTGAGTACAGCGGCAAAAGGATAAACAGAATTGGGACGACAGACAGGCAGAGCTTTGTCTCAAAATTACAGCTTGACCTCACTTTGTTCCCAACCTGAAAAGAAGCTTAAAGGACATCTTCTCCTCCAGTTATCGGTTACCATCACTGGAAATTTTCAGGCAAGTTTTTGACTGAATTGTTATTGGCGCCATGTGCCCCTGAAATCTCACAAGCAGGCTCTGACTCCTGGCTGAAGACACGGAATGCTGTTATTTAAGGTGGGAAATCAAGATTTGGGAAACAAAATAAAAACACGCAAACAACCAGAGAAATGCCTCGTTTGAGAAAAAAGTTAAATTAACCCACCTACAAACGCACACACACGCAATGAAGAAACAGCTTACATTCATGAACACGTGAAGATTTTCTAGCAAGGTTAAAGCAGCGAAACTTAACATACACCGGTTGTTAGATGATAAAGTTTATCCACTACTAACAAATAAACTCTCTGGGTTGCAGGACAACAACTTAACTTAAAAAGACACTGGTCTGACCAACCAGTGATGACACGACAAATTTAGTGGTTAAAAGATTCAAATTGTGACATGTTTTCTGCTGATTGATTAATACAAGTGATTACTGAATGAAAGAAAATTCCTTTTTGGGCTTTTAAACATGATCTTAAGAATTTTAACATGTACCTGTGTTGTCCTGTCAACTTGGTGGGTTATGAGTTGATTATATGGTGAGAAAAAACAAAAAAAGGGGGAGAGAAGGCTGACACAGGGCCTGGCCCCGTTGTTTCTCCCCTCTCTGAATAACACAGCCAACACAACATCATTTTCCTGTTCGTCTGTTTTTGTTTTGTTTTTTCTCTTTATGCTTGATTACAGGCTGCTTTGTCGGCCCGGAAAGCCGAGGCTGACCTGGACTCCTGCTCTCCCCTCTACCATCTTTGCTCACTCCTCTACCATCTTTGATGTGACCCTGACCAAATGCTACAGCAGCTGGACCCACAACAACAACCTGAAAATGTCAACACTGCTGCAGGAAAACGATCTCATGCAGCGGAGACGGAGAGCGTTAAATCCAAGGCCCGTTTCACTACACGGGGGAGATTTCCAGACAGCTTCAGCTGACAGAGCTGTGACGAGACGCCCATTAAGCCCGGATGAAAAGTGAGGCCGAGCAAAAGAATGCTGACCTTAACAACTCTGCATTAAAACTGTGCAGGACAGTGACGGACCAACACGGATGATCGGGCAGCAAAAAGGGCGTGCCAGAGACAGGAGGAGTAACTGAGGTCAGGAGGCACCTCAGAATGGACAAAAGCACCAGAAGAAAATAAGCTGAAGGCACAGGTGTCGGGGCTCGGCCAGGAGCTGACCTCTGAGAAGAGCCGAACAGCAGAGCTGCAGAAGGCCGTGGAGCAAAGCAAGGGAAACATCAATGGACTTCAATCTGACTTGTACGGAAAAGACTCTGAGGTTTCTGCCCTCAGTAAGAGCTCAAGGCATCAGAGCAGAAACTGAGCATGGCTCAGGAGGAGCTGGCTGATAATCGAACCCATCAGTCAGGCTTGGAGTCCCAGACACAG